CTGTAGGTAATCTGAGCGCACCTTGCCTTTGTGTCTGCCCTGAGTACACAGAGCTGGAGAGCAGCGGGCAAGAGGCTGTTTCTGGAAAGGGATCACGGGACCGGGTGGGAGGGAGCCTCTAGGTGACTCTGGGATCACTGAGAGGGGAGTGAATTGTGTGTGGTGATGCCAGGACAGGGTGGCATGGAAGCTGTCGTTCACGGAGGTTATTCAGGAGTCTCGGAAGGTTTGGGGATGAGGCATTTGTGCAGAAAAGTCAAGCGTCATTGAAGGAGAGAGTGCCAGAAGGAAGTGGGAAGTTGAGAAGCTCATGGAGTGGGTTATATCACCACACATCATCAATGATACAGTAAAGTAGCAATATTTTAGAGCAAAAGTCACATTATCGCTGGTGGCGCGCTAGCTGCAGTGCAGTAGTAGGATCTTTGTTTAAGGCAGGCCCGATGAACCAAGAGTTCTGCTGGCTCAGTCGGGCCAGGCTGCATCTTAAAGAGCGATATAATTACACATATAGATATGTAATCCAGCATTATATAATCCCACATTACATAAGAAGGCAAGGACCTCCTTTCAGCCCAGCCTCTACTGGCACAAATTCACCAAGATCCTGGAGACTTTCTTCCAAAGCCCTCATACCCATTTTCCAGAAGGGCAGACTGACACCCAGAGAAGTGAAGTGATTTGCCCTTTCCTGGATATGACAAAGAAGTTTACCAGTCAGGCCGTTGGGACAGGGGTCGCGGGGGTGAGAGTGATGGAAATAGGGAGGAAGCGAAGGAGGAGCAGGGGAAGGATGGGGAGGGGCCGTCCAGTCCGAGCAGCAACCAGCGGGTCTGGTGTCTAAACTCACAGCACAGTGCGCGTCGCTCTCCTACTCGGGTGGCTGTCCCCACGTAACCCCGGATGCATAAGGCAATTTAAACTCAAGTGTTTCTGCCTCGCAATTCCCTTTCTGTAAAGAGCACACTACTTTTCCATCACAAATGGTGAGGCTCCTCATGGTCGTGGCGGTCTGAAAAGGGAAACCAGGGCTTGAGGGGATTGATAGAACGTTTGGACAGACAGCAGGAAGATGACCTGTGGGGATGCGAGCGGGTAGCCACAGCCCAGTACCACCTCCTTAGGAAAGCAGACCGCCTTGTCATGAGCACTTTATCATAAACTTGCTGATCTTGGACCAGCACTGCTCTACTGCTCTGCTGTGCTGGCATCCTCCCTGCCACCAAGAGGAAATTAAGAACTGACCCTCCTTCTCCGTGCCTCCTCACAATCCCCCCGCCACCCCCCCTCCCCGCACTAGAATCTAAATGTGAGAAAGAAGTTCTACTGGCTAGTATGCTTTTCTTTTTCTCCTACAGCTGTGTCTATATTTGTATTTGGGGTTCTAGCTGTTTTGTCTTCAATTGATAAAACAGAAACCGCAACCCAGATGATTCCTCCCAGCGCCAACACACCCTCGCAGCTGCCTGCTTGAGTCCAGGAGCTGTCAAAGTAGGGTTCCTGGTCCTCAGCTCAGGAGGGAGAGCAGGGAGGAGGCAGCGTGGTGGTTACAATAAAGGTTGCCCACGGGGGACGGTGAGGGTGGGGTGGAGAAGGGAGAGAAATGATGCTGTTACCCTGGACCCTGGGGAGGGACCTGCATGGAGACCCTTGCTGTTCCGGGTCCAGATCCTGTAAAATTCCAAGGAGGAGGCACTTGTCTCATTGAGAAGTCCTTGCTGCGCTTTCTGCTTAGGTTGCTGAGATGCATCCACTTGCGCAAATCCCAGTTGCCATCGTTACTTGGATATTTTGACTCCGCATGCCTGCATGCTGGCATCCAGTTACAGCCCGGCAGGAATGGCACTCCTGGGCGGCTGCTGGTGGCCTGGCGCTCGGACTGGGTGGCTCAGCAGTGAGGGCACCTGGACAGCCTCCACACTCCTCTGAGCTCAGCCTTCCTGGGCCTCGGAAGTTTTTCTCCAAGCTGCTCTAGCCCCCAGCGGATTTCATTCACACAGGGCACGTGAGCAGGGGCAGACCAATGACACTGACCAAAGAAAGGCCTGATAATAATGCCCTGGCTTCTGAGAGGGCGGTGCCAGCAGGGAGGCTGCCAGCGAAAGCCCCCTCAAGCCCAGGGCCCCTCCTGGTGGCAGCTTGTAAACACTGACATGACATGTTGATTATAGAAGGTCCTCCTGCTTGTTAAGCTGAGCCATCCCCTTCTGAGGGTGGACAAACCTCCCCCTCTCTGTCCTACACAGAAGGGAACTGAAGCAAGCATTTGCCCAGAAACTCAGGCCCGTTTCTGACCCTGTGCTCCCTCCCCCAGCAGCCCCGTCACCCTTACAGCCCATTTAGGGAGTCTCCTTCTAGGAGTGTCAGGTGTCTGTTGGGGGAAGGGGGGTCCCCTAGCCTGAGAATCCCTCTCCCTAGGAATGGGAGGTACAAAAGGGGGTGTAGCTCGCTCCTTCGGAGGCTGGCTGGAGGATGTTTGCAGGGCAGGCCTGGATAGGGGATGGCAAGGCCCACTGGCCGTGGAGTGTATCGTCATTGGCCCGTGGTTACCCATTACCTCCATGTCAAAACTGGGCCTGCCGCTGAGTGAGCCAGCCACGCAGGCCACGTGACAGACCCACAGGAGGGATGGGAGGCCCGTGGGCTGCTCAGGTGCATCCAGAAGCCTCCCACCCAGACAGATTGGGGGGGAACTCTGGCACCTCCATAAAGGGAGCTGGGGGCTTGGAAATCCACGACCGGAAAAGGAGAGAGGCGAAGGTGGAGGCCAGGAGAGCTGCCTCCCAGCTCTGACAAGTCCATTAAATTTTAAAGTGGCCCTGCCCTTGGGCCTGCTGGGAAGGGGTGGGACCTGGCCCTGACTCCGCTTCCCTCAGCTGTTTGTTGCTCTGCTGGCGGAGGAGAGTGGTGATGAGTGAGCTTCCCGGGCAGGCTCTCCTCCCTCTGGGAGAGAGGGACAGCTCCACCTGGGTTCTCTCCAGGCCTCCTCCTTCGAGAAGCCCAGGTGGAGGATGGCGGCCACCAGAGGGAGACAAGTGGTTCATCCGGCAGAA